AGGAACTTACAGGTCTAAACATCATAATCAGAGATTTGAGGTTTTTAACTCAGCACCCCCTTTTTTTTTTTGCTGAGGAAGATTCGCCCTGAGCTAACATCTGTTGCCAATCTTCCTCCTTTTGTATGTGAGCCGCTGCCACAGCATGGCCACTAACAGACAAGCGGTGTAGGTCTGTGCCTGGGAACTAAACCCAGGCTGCCAAAGTGAGGCGTGCTGAACTTAGTCAGTAGGCCACCAGGGCTGGCCCTCAGCATCCTCTTAAGAATAATTTAGAAGCTCATTATTGAATCACTACATCTACTTATATAATTTTGGAATGTGCAAAATCACTACCACTGCTTAAAAGCTGTAATTTATCTAAATGTTTTACAAGTGGTTGAGACATTTGTCTTAATATGTGTTACAAGAAAACCAACTAGCAAAATTATTAGCACTAAGAGAATTTATAACTTTTCTTTCTCCCCAGGAGCTCAATAACAAGATCAGTGAAAGGAAAAATATGTTTATTTTGAAGCATTTTCTTTTACCCTTCAATCTAGCTTGCAAGCAATTTTGAATAAAAATTGACTTCCATTCTTGAAAAGAAGACTCATTTCCTTCTGATCATATAATTTCTTATGAAGAAGGCATTATATGCATTTATTCTACAAGAGAAAAAGTTTAAGATTGCCTCTTGCCTGACACGGGTACTAAGAAAAGTGGCAGTAGGAATGACCTAGGAAAATTAAACAATGTTAGACAATAGTTGTTGATGAAAATTTGCTCATATCACACGCTCAAAGTATTTGATAAATCTTGCAGTTAACATTAATATCCTTATAAAAATCGCCAATAAGCACAAGAAAATATGCTCAATATCATTAGCTATCAGGGAAATGCAAGTCAAAACCACAATAAGATACCATGTCACACATACTATGATGGATATAATAAAAAAGACAGATCATAAGTGTTAGTGGGGATGTGGAGAAATTAGAACCCTCATACCATGCTGCTGGGAATGTAAAATGGTATAGCTTCTTTGGAAAATAGTCTGACAGTTCCTCAAATGGTAAAACATAGAGTTACCATATGATCCAGCAATTATACCTGTAGGTATAATTCATTATTCGTAATAGCCAAAAGGTAGAAAAAACCCTGATATCCATTAACTGATCCTTTTTTTTTTTTTTTTTTTTTGCTGGGAAAGATTTGCTCTGAACTAACATCTGTTGCCAATTTTCTTCTCTCATTTTTTTCCCTCCCCAAAGCCTCAGTACATAGTTGTATATCCTAGTTGTAAGTCCTTCTAGTTCTATGTGAGCTGCTGCCACAGCATGGCTACTGACAGACAGGTGGTGTGGTTCCACACCGGGGAACCGAACCCAGGCTGCTGAAGTGGAGCACACTGAACTTTAACTGCTAGACCATGAGGGCTGGCTCTTAAGTGATCCATTTTGTTTATCCATCCCATTGTATGGATATGCCACATTTTGAAATACTAAGTAAAAAGAGAAACTATGTAAAATCTAAAAGGCATTTTCTTTCCCCTAAACACGGCAATGTGTATATCCATACAATGTGGTATATCCATACAAAAGAAAATGTGGTATAGCCACACAAAAGAAAATGTGGTATATCCATACTATGGAATATTATTCATCAGTAAAATAGAATGAAGTACTGATACATGCTACAACATGGCTGAAGCTTGAAAACATCAGGCTTAGTGAAAGAAGCCAGGCACAAAAGATCACATGTTGTATGATTCCATTTATATGAAATGTCCAGAATAGGAAAATGTAGAGACAGAAAGTAGATTAGTGGTTGCTTAGGGTTGATGGTGGGGGGGAATTACGGCAAATGAGGCATTACAGTTAAAGGGTTTGGTGTTTCTTTTTGGAGTGATGTAAACATTCTATAATCTATTGCCATGTTGGTGGTACAACTCTATGCATATAGTAAAAACTACTGACTTTTAGCATACTTTAAATGGGTGAATTGTATGATTTGTAAGTTATATCACAATAAAGCTGTTAAGAAAATCTAATTACTAGAACTAGAAGTAATTTTTAATAGCTCCTTAAATATTATGAGGCCTCAGTTTCAAAAGCTACCAATTTTAGATGGAATCTACTCTGGCACCGTTTTTTGATTACTACTTGTTGCATCAACTTCAGCACAAAATGAAACCTCTGAAATTCATTTTTAGCATCAACAAAATCAAGGAGGTAGTCCAAAGTCTGTCTTATAGCAGATAACTTAAATTCAGCAGTCTGTTGTTATTCAGCAGTCTCTCCTCTTTTCTGAACAACTCCCTCCATAATCACAACTTTGTTGTTTGGAGGCAACCTTTTTCTTCTTCATTCGCATTTAACCACATCCTATCTTCTTCCAAGTTGGTTTCTAATTTTACTTCTCAAGAATTTATCTACAAATGCCCTCTTCCCTGCCTTCAAGATCATATTCACGTTCCTTTCTGTAAAGAAGTTTTCCTATGCAGTTGCTATAGTTATTTGTTTTACTCCATCCCAACTCGTGGCCCAGTTAAAAACTTCAACATTTTTGTGTTATAGGTTTTAATTTTGGAAACTTCTTTTCCTTCTTTGTCTTGCTCATGATGACCTTACTCAAAATTATGAGATTTTCTTCAAGTTGCTTCCACCTATAAAGTTGTTTGCAGTTCAAGATCATACCTTGATTCCTTGGGTGAATCAAGGTTGAAGTGTTCAGGGGAAAGAAAATGCCTTTTAGATTATACATAGTTTTTATTTTTATTATTATTACTGTTTCAAACATATTAGCCAAAATTTAACTATAGACGGCATCTCGGTGTTAGGGGTTTAATTAGAAACCTTTAATTTTGTAGAGCTTTATAAAAGAAAACATGGGGCCAGCCCTGATGGCCTAGTGGTTAAGTTTGGTGTGCTCCACTTTGGTGGCCTGGGTTCAGTTCCCTGGCGTGGACCTACACCACTTGACTGTCAGTGGCCATGCTGTGGCGGTGGCTCACATACAAAAAGAGGAAGATTGGCAACAGATGTTAGCTCAGGGTGAATCTTCCTCAGCAAAAAAAAAATAAATTATAAAAAAATAAATAAAAGAAAATATTGCTCAATGTATGCTTTTACTACTAACCATACTAATAACACATAATGAAATGTTTTAAGTGAATTACAACGTGTATTCCTGGAGTCTATAGTCCTTTTAAAGAATTTTCTCTTTTCTTTGAAGCATATAAACCATAGTAGGTTATTAGGAAAATCGAAGACAGCAGTATACTTATTTCTATATTCATTCTAAATGGTTAACTATATAATTTACAGATAAATTATATTGAAAATAATTACAAGGAAAAACTTTGTGCAGATTAATATATAAACTCCACATGGTTTAAAAAACCTTACTATTTCAAACAAAAACAACAAAAAAAAGAAATAGAAAATGGATTTTTTTCTTTTTGAGGAAGATTAGCCCTGAGCTAATATCTGTTGCCAATCCTCCTCTTTTTTGCTGAGGAAGATTGGCCCTGGGCTAACATCCGTGCCCACCTTCCTCTACTTTATATGTGGGATGCCGCCACAGCATGGCTTGATAAGTGGTGTGTATGTCTGCGCCCAGGATCTAAACCTGCGAACCCCAGGCCACTGAAGCAGAGTGCAAGCTTAATTGCTATGCCACCGGACCTGCCCCAAGAAAATGCCTTTTATCTGACCATCCTCACTGGTTAGTGATTCAGCTGAACAGTAAGCCTGGGAATTGTCCAGAAGCAACAGGGCCCTGACTTCCTCTTCACAGTCATAAAACCTTAGGTTGAATATGCCTGATCTCAGAAACATAGCTTTGAAAGAACCATTCTGAAAACGAACCTCTGGTGAAGCAAACATCTTTACTAGGTTTATATATCACAGATAATGCACCGTGTCCTCTTGCACACTTTTGGGCAGCTTTGCTTTTCAAATGAGGATTGACTTTAGCTTATCAGTCTGATCTGTGTTTACATGTAAAAAGTCAGACAGGTGCTCTTTTGTTTATTTTCCTCCTGGGCATGCAGACGTCTTTTCTGCTTGCCTGAGTGGTTTGTCACACTGATTTCCAAAAGACACCAATTTCATCCCCACCGTACAACTGAGCGACACAGTTTCTCCTCTTTGATATATAGGGACAATTTTTGTCCAAATGGCTCAACACTAGGCAAATCCTGATAATTTGGAGACACGGAGAATGCAAGATACTCAAGTTCTTAGAAAGATGATTTATCCAGACGACTATGCCAAGCATTACAGAAGATATAAAATGAAGGTCCCTGTCCTTCAGGGAAGCATAATGTAGCAGAAAAAGCATGAGATATACCAACAAGAGACCTAAATTCCTGTCTGAAATCTGCCACTGGGAATCTATGTGATGCTGAGGCCGCCACGTCCTACATCTCGAGAAATATAAATGGAACCTACTTCACAAGGTTAAAACCTACCTAACAAGAATAAAACAAGATAATAGTTGGGAAGGACGTGCCAGTGAACCAGAAAAGGGTTTAAAAACTATAACTATAATTGTTCCTGGTCTAAGGAGGAGCCTGGCCAGGACCAAACTGATTCTTGATTAAGGAGGCTCCGGACAAGCTTAGTGACGACTTTTGGGGAGGCGGCCTTTACCGGGTAAAGTTCTCGGTAGAAGGGCCGCCGGCCGCCGAATGCGCTGCAGGAACAATCCGGACGCGCAACACTTTGCGAGTCGGAGATACGAGTTCGTGGCACCCAGAGTCAGCTGGCTACATCGCTCCCAGGCGACGAGCCGCTTTCTGGGCTCCTCTAGGCCTTCAGCGGGACTGGAGACTCGGTGGCATTAACTCTTTTTCGCATCCGGGGGCTGAACCGGAGCAGAAGGCCAGTTCCTCCGGGATGGAGAGCACCCGCCGGACGGTTCCTGACTGGCTGGGCTGGGACTCCGCAGGTAGAGGGAGGGAGATGGCTGGGCGTGGCTGTCACGGAGCCACCGGAAACGCATCCTTCCTTTTCCGGTTGGGGCCCCGTCCACAGACCGCGACCCCAAAATGGCGAGTCGGGGTACGGTCCCTGGGAGCTAGAGGGTTTGGGTGGGGGACTGAACTCTCTAGGCCCCCTGCGCCCCCGGATCTTGGCGCTGCAGTCGCCAGGCCTCGCGCGCTTTCGCGACACCGCCTCCGGCAGTGGCACAGCCCCCGAGAGCTTCCTCCTCGGAGCAGCGGGGAGGCGTGGAGACTTTATAGTCGAGTGGAGAAAGAAGGAAGTGGCGTCCGCGGGAGCCAGAGCTGCGTGGAGGTAATCGAGAAACTGATTTTCCCTTTCGAGTTCGTCCGGAGAACTCCTGACAAATACCGGCCGCACGTGCCAGTTGCAGGCTTTGGGCCGGCTGCGTGGCGGTGAGTGAGGGGGAGCGGGGGACGCAGCCTTCTCCACTTCGCGGTGGCATCGTTGCCAGGCGGCGGGTCGGCCGGAGAACGGGCGAGACCTCCTCTCAGCAAGGCCGGTACTCAGGCTCCTACAGCCACATCTAACCTCTGAAAGCAACCTCTTTGTACCCTATGTGCAGTATAACCCAGGGATGCTGCTGAAGCACACTGGGAGGCTGCCCGCGTGCACAGTGCTTATGGGCGCCCTTGTGGATGAAGAATATGTAGCGAGTTAGTGGTGGGGGTGGGGCAGTAGTCTGCCACTGCATCCAGCGAAACTTTCCCTTTTCCGCTGGCTTAGGATCCCATCACTGGAGAAAGGGTCGTTAGCTTCTGCCGACATAAAAATATAGGAGGTGTCCCTGTACCTCCTGGGCCTGCATGGGCAGCAAAGAACCAATCGTTTCTTTGAATACCCGTGGCATCCTCGAAAGAATTTTGTTGCTGTTTCTGCTGGGTCACCTCAGGGAAAATCAGACTCCCAAGGCCACCCTCAGTCTTGCTTAAAGATCTATATGACCCTGAGGGGATGTAAAGTCAGGAGAAGGGTTCCCTTTACTAGGACCCTTCCTGTCTCTGAAAAGAGCCTTAATCATCACCGTTTCTCTTTCCTCTTTTACAGTCTGACATTAGGATATCTTGTAAACAAGGCCAACTGTACGTTTTTCCAGTAAAGTAAGCAAAAAATTTGATACACAGGTACGAGTCTGCACAGTGCCCTTTATAAGTCTTTCCCAAAAGTACCAAAAAAAAAATGTTGATGACAGCTGGTTGCTTAATGCGGGGTATTTACTGAGAGGAATAAGGTTACTTTTCCCTTAGTTATTTCTTTTCTGATCTGGGCTGTCTCAGTTTCCCCTGCCAATATTAATGCAATGGAAAGGAGAATATCACATGTTCCATGAAGTAAAAGTTTCAATCTTCACAAGAGGATGAAGGGGCATGGAAGTTGTTTTCCCCCTGGCTAGGGGCGTGAAAGTTGTTTTTCCCTTGACTAGAGACAAGAGTGGAATGATCTGTTAAAATTTAGAGAAACTCACATGTGCCCTGTTTGTGAAGATGGAACAGGAAGCACACAGATTAAGTACTGGATCATCTCAAAGCTCCTTTTATCAAATGGGCGCCAGGTTTCTCACCCACCAACCTTTCTTCAACTTTAAAAAAAAAGGAAAGTGATGCATTGACGTTTGTCTTCTCTGAGCTGTGCTTTGTTTTAAAGTTGAGTAACAGAGAAAAGAAGAGAAACATGTCCTGAAATAATCTGTCATCATGAGTGTCCTAATCCTTGGCAGTTGATTTTAAAGGGGAGGCAGGACAGGAACATTTGTTTGTTCTTGTCTGATAACTATAAATAGCAAGTAAATGTGCGTCGTGTGGCTTTCTTCTTGACATGTACTTTTTTTCTCCCCTCCCTCAGTGCCCTTGGGGAGAAGATCCACTCATTGCTTTTGTACCAAACCTGACAAGGCCTCAGTTGTCAAAGGTGGCACCAGGAGGATGTCACACATAGGAGTAAAACTGTTCCTAGAGCAAATGATGATGAGACATCTGAAAGTGAATGCATGCTTGTACCCACACATGGAGGCTTTGTGGGAGACAGAGGGGTCTGTGAAAGAGAGCTCCAGTCAGAGTAAGAAATCCAGCCCACAAATGGACAGTCTTGGTCCTGAGAGCGCTCGCCAGCACTTCCGGAGCTTCTATTATCATGAAGCACCTGGACCGCTCGAGGCTGTCAGCCAACTTCAGGAATTATGCCATCAGTGGCTAAGGCCAGAGATCCACTCAAAAGAGCAGATCTTGGAACTGCTGGTGCTAGAGCAGTTCCTGACCATTCTGCCCAGGGATACCCGGGACTGGGTGCAGAAGTATCATCCACAGAGCATCAAAGAGGCTGTGGCCCTGGTAGAACGCTTTCAGAGAGAAGCTGGTGGAATAAGTAATGAGGTGAGAAGAAAGATTCCTTACATGTACAATGAAATAGAATAAAGGTGATATATCCGGGTGGGGGCGTTAATTGAGGAATGAGATGGATTAGGTCACTCTTCTGTTGTTCCTTTAGGATAGCTCGGCGGGATCGGAAATCACACACATGCAGCAATAGGTTTCGGAGTTCCTGGCAGTCTTTCCTGGCCTTAGAAAAAAGAAATGCTTTTTGCCCTCTTCAGGGCCAGGGTGAATTGAGGGTAGTGGGCCTAGTGTGGCATGGTCAAGGAGACAGGACTTGAATTCTTAGAAACAGAAATAAAAGGCAAGAAAGAATTGGGAAAGTGGAAGAAATCTGAGTAAATGGACAGCACTTAGAGAGCAAAGGAGAGAAAGGGTAGCAAACAGAAGTATAAATCAAAGAGCTCTGGGGAGACTGCAAAGAAAGAGAGGAAATGGAAAGTAAAAAGGGAAACAAGGATACAGAAAGAAGAAAAACGCCAACAGAGAAGTGGAGAGAGTCAAGGTGCTGAGGGGTAGTGCGCTTTCTGGTGGGAACACATTGCTGGGCCAGGAGAAAAGAGCCTCCACTGCCCTCCCTTCGTGGTCTGTTCTTGGCCTTGCTGGTGATTGGGGAACCAAGGTTCACCCTTGGGAGAGGGCAGCACACTTCCTTTCCTCGGGAACCTACCTTGAAGAACACAGGGCAGGACATATTTTTCGTGTTTTATTACAACTGAATCATGTGGAGGGAGGTTAGTGCCCAACCTTCCCCATTTTTTCCTCCATTAGGTCCCCTTTCTCTGTGAAATCCTTCCCTGGCCATGGGAGGGTTGGAAAATCTGACTGACAGGAAGTTTTTTTTATTCATTTCCTTATTTTTTAGCAAAAACTAGAAGATAGAAATCTACTCAGGCAAGGATCCAAGTCAAGAAAGCAAGCCAGTGAAGTCAGTGTGAGAACAGGCAGCCTGCCCCCGCTCTGCTAGTGGCCTGAGCAGAAGGGTGGAGGCTGGCAGCAGTCACAGCCTTTTTCATTTTATACTAACTTTCCCAGATGATGTGTATGGTTCTGTCTGAGAAAACAGTGGCGCAATATCTCTTCAGGTTTTTTTTATTACTTCCTTTAATGTCATACACTCCCCAAATCTTGGCTCTACTCTTGTCTGTCCATCTACCACCACCTCAAAACCAAAAGTAAGTTCTGTGCTAATGAGGATGGGGATTATTTCTAGGTCACAGACCATGAGCTGGGAAAGGAGGCAGTGCTCTTGGGAGGAACAGCAGTGGCCCCAGGCTTTAAGTGGAAACCAGCAGAGCCCCAACCAATGGGTGTGTTCCAGAAAGAATGTTGGAATACATACCGGGTACTACAAGAACAGCTGGGCTGGAATACTCACAAAGAAACCCAGCCTGTATATGAAAGAGGTGAGGAGCTTCATAATAATTCTCTTCTCCTGGGAGCTGTGATAGTAATTGGTTCAGCTAGAATGTCATGGGAATGTTCCAGGTGCCCAGCCATGCTAGCAGTTGGGGTGTCTCTCAGGTGGGAGTACAACAGGCCAGTGGTGGGTGACGGTGAGGTCCAGTCTGGGGTACAGAAATATCCAAAACACAGAACCCCGGTATTCATACCGTGGACCTTGCTCCTTAGAAATTTGAGAGAAGATGGAACGGGGACAGGTGGGATCATCTCACCCTTATAAGTTAGAGAAGAAATTGGATCAGAAATGGGCCATCAGTGGCAGAATGGGAAGAGAATTGTGCACCAGGAAAAAAATAATACAAGACGAAAATCTCCCACATTTCCTACTGTACACTAGAGGACCTGAGTCTTTTATTTTCAAACAGCTCTAATTCTTGCCCAGCTCAGTGAACAATTTATTTTATGAGAGGAAAAAATAAAAGATTTCCTTTTATTAATTTCTCTCATGAAATCTGGGGAAACAGGCAACTAGGGAACCGGTTCTATGGAATGGTGGATGTGTGTTACTTGTTTATGATGAGAACACTTCTGGTACGACACACACACTTGTGAAGGTGAGCCGTCTTTACTGAAGGAGTCTTGATGTTCTATATTTTAGAAATCAGCTCAGGATATTCATAAACAGAAAAGAGAGAAATTTTCTCTGGCTCTTTTCCACCCACAGCTGTGCCTGCTCAACAGATTCTAGCCTTTTCTGAGCAAAAAAACACCCCAAACTGGAAGATGGCATCTGAGCTCACCTTGCCTGAGTCCCAGGTGAGCTGTACTTTCCAACTTTTTCAGGCAGCCTGAACGTGGCCTTGTCTGTGCTTTTCTCTGCTGCCTGTGACCCACAGTGCCCAGCGGCTACTCTGAGGCATATTAGCCCCAGATGTTCTCCTCTAGGCAGCTATGCTTGGCACAGTGGAATTGGGCACCTCTCAAGCTGTTTACTGATCTCTTTGGCGCTTCCTTTTCTGCCATCTCACTTTTTTCCCTAAATCTTATACTCTTAACTTCTTCAGTGACTGGCCTGCCGTGTGATTCAGAGATGAGTGATGAGATGGCTTCTGTTGTGGCAAGGACTGAACTAAAACTCCTTCTCTTCTTTAGAGTTTGTTGACATTTGAAGATGTGGCCGTGTCTTTTTCCGAGGAAGAATGGAAGTTACTGAACCCTGCTCAGAAAATCTTCTACAATGATGTAATGCAGGAAAACTATGAGAATGTCGTCTCTCTAGGTAAAGATTCTTCTTTTCCTTTGTGTTGAAGTGGAGGGATCTGTTATGTCCTCAGTTTTTGGAAAACGCACTCCTGTAAGAGAGTCCCATTGTTCCAGTAGCTGATTGGTTCTCAACTTGATGATGTAGGGGAAAGTAAAGGCATACCCAGATCACCTGGAGAGCTTTTTACAAATACATGTCCCACTTCTTTACTCTAAATAGAATTCTTGATCTGTTATACTTCCGCCCCATCCTGCAAACTTGCTCTTCCTGTATCTTTTCCATCTCAGTGAAGGGCACCACGATTTACCCAGTTGCTCAGGCCAAACCCTCTCAGATTTCCTTTCTTCCAGTCTTTCTGTTATACCCCACAACTGATCCATCAGCAAGTCCTGTTAGCTCTGTCTTCAAAATAGATCCTGAACAACCATGTCTCAACCTCTTCCACTCTTACCTCCTAGTCTAAGCCACCATCATCTCTAACTGGATTCCCACTCAGCATATCCTTTTCATCTATGCTCCTTAGGGTTAGTTCTTGGCTTCCTCACTGCATATCCACCCACAACCACAGTAGGATATAAAGAAGATATTGAATCTAAGATGCTGCCCATTTAAACATTTAAAGTAAATAAAAGTATAAAAGTGTCATTCATTCTTCCTGAAAATAGTCTGGAATTAAGATGGCGGTCCATAACCTTAAGGTTTTATTCTCAGCATTATTGTTGTACCCTAAACTTAAAGTGATCTGTTTAGAACAAGGGGAAGAACCATAGATCCAAGGTCCCCAAGAGTTCAAGGACAGCCTTGGAGAGTCTCCTACACATAAGTATATACGTAGAAAGAGGAGAGATGTTCCTTGATAGGAACCTTTACAGGGGCTTAACATTTTAAGATTCCGCTCCTGTATTTTTTGTTAATTGAACTTTTTATTGAGATAAGTGTAGATTCACATGCAGATTTAAAATGTAATATATAAAGAACCCATGTACACTTTACCAGTTTCCCTCAATAACGTTTGCAAAACTATCATATACTGTCACAACAAGGATATTGATATTGATACAATCCACTGATCTTATTTATATTTCCTGTTTTGCTTGTATTCATTTGTGTATGTGTGTATTTAGTTCTATAAAGCTTTATCACATGTGTCGGTTTGTGTATTCAACACCACAGTCAAGACAGTGGACAGTTACATTACTACAGGGATCCCTCCTCTTGTCCTTTTATAGCCACACACACTTCCCTCCCATACCCCACCCCATCACCAACCCATGGCAACTACTAATCTGTTCTACATTTCTAAAATTTTGCCATCTTAAAAATGTTATATGAATAGAATCATAAAGTGTGTAACCTTTGGGGGTTAACTTTTTTCATTCAGAATAATTCCCTGGAAATTCATCTAAGTTGCATGTATCTATAATTCATTCCTTTTTATTGCTGAGTAGCATTCCATGGTCTTGATATACCACAGTTTTTTTAATCATTCGCCCATTGAAAGATATCTTTGCTGTCTTCAGTTTTTGGCTGATGTGAATAAAGCTGCCATGAACATTCATGTACAGGATTTTGTGTAGAGATAAGTTTTCATTTCTCTGGGATGAATGGCTTAAGAGTGCAATTGCTGATTCATATGGTAATTACATGCTTAATTTTGTAAGGACCTGCCAAACTGTTTTTAATAGTGGCTGTATCATTTTACATTCCCACCAGCAATGGATGAGTGATTTTCTACATCCTTGCCAGTGTTTATTGTTGTCACCTTTTTTTTTTTTTTTTTTTTTTT